GAGAAGTGCTGAGTCATGGCTCCAGCTGGGTTTCTGTCTCCTATTCTTCATCTCCATTTTTTCCTCAGTCCACTCCTCACCCCCTGCTGGGCTCTCTCTAGAGCTCTGGGCCCTCTTCAAAACCTCCTTCCTGAGCCTGGACTCACTTTCCCAAGGTCCACTTCTTGGCAGTGAAAAGGAGGCACTTCGCTGTTTCTAAACTTACTTGCTTCTCACCTTGCCTTCTCAGAAGACAGTTCTGAGCTCTTCACCTTACAACTGCCTTCTCTCCCAGAAAACAGGAGTCTGATCTAGTTGACCCAGAAGGCTATTTCTTCCATGCATTCATGCTGATCCTCCTCCCGTCCTTCACCCCTAATCGGATTATGTCAAAGCCTCATGCCTTGGGGCCCGGCAAAGAAAGTGAGATTTAATTTGACTCCACACACTGAGACTTTTTCTCATTCTAGGTCTCCAAGTGCCAAACCACAGGTTCCTGGGGGGGTGTGTGTGTGTGTGTGTGTGTGTGTGTGTGTGTGTAATACAGGGAGGGTGCTCCGTCAATGGGTTCAAGGGCAATACCTAACGCAGTAACTCCAATCAAGTAGTCTTGCTAACTAGTTCCAAATAAGGAAGATTAGGACTGTTTCCCCCGCTAGAAGACGAGAGGAGAGAGAGGTGGCCCCGCCCTTCCGCTCAGTCTGGTTACTATGGCGACAGCCGCGGGGTGACCCAAGTGCTCCTCCCTCCCTCCTTCCAAACTAAGAGAGATGACGGCACCGCGCTGACTGCGCCAAATTCCAGCCAATGGGCGGCTGCTCCCGCCTTCCCTTCCGCCAGTTCTCTCCCCCTCCCCCGGGAACTCGATTCACAAATCTGGACTGGGGATTTCCGGCTCCAGGCCGGTCCAAGGGTGCTTGGCAGAGGCTGGGGGAGAGTCGAAGTCTGTCCTCTTAGGAGGGCAAGTAGAAGCGGCATTCCTGGGTTTGGGGCCAGACTCCTGTAACTCGCCAACAGAATAGATCACACCCCACTTCCAAAGACCTAGTTGAGACCCAATCCGAAACTCCTCTTGCCCCTACAGGTCCCTACCCGGCTCTTCCTGCCCCTGTGAGCCGGTCAGCACCACGGACAGCGGGCCTCATTCTTGAGGACCTCGCCCAGTTGTCCCTCAGGATTCTCCCGGCGACTAGGGTCAGAAACGCCAGCGCTTTTACTGGAGACAGGCTTCCTTGGGCCAATGAAACAGTGAATGGAGCGCTTAGCCATGTGGCTAAGAAGGCAAGGGAGGCCAAACAGGGATCTCAGGCTAAATAGGTTATTTCTCTTTCAACCCCAATCAATGGCTCCCGTCTCCCAGGTTGCCTGTGTCCTAGCCTCCCTGGAGATAAAGAGCCAGGTCTGAATCTCAAGCAGGGATGGTCCTCCCAAGTCTGCTCTGGGTAGGCGTGTGGCCGAAGCAGCCTTGAAGCAGTCCAGTGGGTGAGGGGAAGCGTGTGAGGCTGCGTGTGGCAGTCAGGCCCCACCTGAGTGGTGAACACAGACTTAAATCAGGTCTGCCTGGACTCCTGACGGGATATATGGTGGGGAGAGATGAAGGCAGAGAAAAGTAGCCACAATAATAAGCTATTTCTGCCTCAATGGACCACTCTGTAAAGGGGGGACAACTTCTGCTGTCCTCATCATTTAATCCAGAAATGGATCGGCCATTAATGAGGAGCTAGGTCAGACAAAATGGAGGTGGGGGTGGGGATAGAAGTAAATGGGACCAAAGAGCAGCAGTTCTCAGGGACCAGACCTTCCTCACTAGGCCCCTGGGGGCCTCCTGCCCTGCTTGTGGCAGCTCCATTCCTGCTCCCTCCCTCCCGGGGCCCAAAGAAAGGCCGGCGCAAAACCATCTGCAGGCGCTTCAAGCGCTTTATAGTTATCTTCCGGACAGACGGACAGAGAGACAATGCGGCCCGCGCCGTCGGCCCGCATCATTGGCACCTTGGATCCGCACCAGGCCCAACCCAGTCCCTGGTACCCTCCCGAGAGGATTCCAGTCCGGCCTCAGATCAGCACCTCAGACAGCTCCCTGCCCAACCCTCCCTCCCCCCACCCTCCAGAAACAACCGAATAAATTAAAAGAGGGGGAAACAAAAAACACCTAAGGATAAGGAAGAGGGTGCCCCTCCCCCTAAGTAAGAAGAGTTTCTGTCTCTTCCCATCCTTCCACTGAGGCACCGCTGCCGCCGGGGTGGCCTCCTGGGTTGAGTTTGCTCCCAAAGGTCAGCCTCTTGTAGTCGGCATCCCTCTCCCCCCAACTCCCGGCATGCAACACGTTGGAAAGGTAGAGAGAGGCGGTGGGGGTGGGGTGAAGGACCATCCTGGTAGTTGTCTGAGCCTCTGGGAATGCAGTTTCTCGCCACACCTCAGTCCATCCAAATTAAGAACTAATGTTCCTTTTGGTTTGGGGAGGGAGGAGTGGGGGCTCATTCGGGGGAATGAATGCAAGCTGACACAGGCAGGGTGGGGGAGGCAGACAGGAAGGAAGGTGGTGACACATGCCAAGAGGGAGGAAAAAGAGAACAAGATGGGCGATGGGGACACAGGTGCAGAAAGAGAAATGGGGGCAAAGAGAAATAGGTATGGGGTGAGATGGGGACGGAAAGACACACCCAAGGAACGTAAAATGGAAAGGCAGATAAGAGGAAAGATGAAGATACAGGAAGAAAGTGAGGAAACGGACAAAATCGAGGAAGATGGGCTTGTAGACACACACACACAGACGGTAAAGGGGGGAGACCTGGGCAGAGTTGGAAAGATGAGGATGCAGACAGAAAGGTTGAGGTAGGGGGGTCCCCTTCCCGCGTTCATCCCTCAGCCCCACCCTACGCCCAGCAAATCCAGACGCCGCGGCCTCTGGCTTCCTGGCCTCCACCTTCCCCGGCGGGGCAGGGGCGGCTCCTCCTCCGGCCGGGGCGGGAACGGCGGTTACAGAGGCGGCAGCTTGATGGTTCCAGGGCTCCGAGTGTGTGTCAGGGGCTGGCGCGGGGGCAGGAGCGGCCGTCGGGTATCCCTAGCGGTCCAGGTTCATAGTCCAGTGCTTGGCTCCGGTCGCGCAGCTGTCCCTGGCGGCCGAGGAGGAGACGGGGGTCGCGGGCGCACCCCCACTGGGTGGACCCCCGGCGCCGGCGGCGGCCTCGCCCTCATTCTTGAGGTCTTGAAAGACCTGCGTGAAGAAGTGGGGGTCGGCGTTGAGCCGCAGCATCTGCGGGCTGAGCCGCTGGATGAGGCGCAGGCAGCGTTGCCAGAAGCGCTCCTTGTCGGGCTCCACGAGGAAGGGCTTGAGCGGATAGGAGATCTCGTTGCCCATGTAGGAGTAGGCGAGGTAGAGGCAAGTGAGGAAGGCAGCCTGCAGCTCGGCGGCCGACGCCAACTCATCCCCGCGCAGCGACTCGCGGCACAGCAGGTACACGAACACCAGGTTGGCAGGCGTAATGAAGGCCTGGTCTTGCCAGCCCTGCAGCAACAGCGAGCGGTCCACTCCGCGGAACCAGCCCACCAGCTCGCCGGGGCTCAGCTCCTTGAGGCGGTAGCAGCGTCGGCACACGAAGTCGCCCAGGCAGCGCAGCAGCTC